AGTCAACGACTCGATTGTTCATTATTAAAATTAATGCAGCAGGGTCATTTCCCTCCCTCCCTCCTGACCCTGGTGGCATGATGGGAATGTTCACATGCACATTCAGGTTGTTCTCCACACAGAGGAAAGCTGCTGCTCCAGTTTTCATTTTCATCATAGTTTACTGGTTTACTGGTTTATATTACTGGTTTATTTTCCTGCTAGGTGTAAATAAAATGCAGAAGTGCAGCTTTAATTCTGGCTCTGAACACACAGATTCCCCTGTGGCATTATGGGTAATCTGTGAAATGGGTTGAAGAATCGAACTTTGTGGTGAGATTAAGGAAAACTGAGCTGAGCTGGATTAAAATCTGGACCGGTTACAATGAGGCAGAGGTGTCCAAAGTGCGGCTCAGGGGCCGTTTGCGGCCCTTGAAGTGATTTTGCGCGGCCCTAAAGTGTGACACAAATTTTAGTTTTTAATTTGATTTAATTTGTAAAAACCATTTTTACTAAATGAAGACTTGGGCGTTCCTTTTTAATGAGCTTTTCAAAATAAAGCAGGAGTGAACCAAAACACACAAAAATGTAGAATCAAGCTGAAAAAAATAAAGATTTTTTTCTAATTTGTCAAACCTGCAAAACCTTTTTCATGTTTTAAATCTTCAATAAGCCCAGACAAATGTGATTGCCATCATGTTCAGCAAAATAGTTTTTACAAAAACAAAAACATTAAGAAGTTTGTCTGAGTTTGAGTCCGACCCAAGCCGACCCGGCAGAACCGCTTTACTCACTGTCCAGGTTTCCTGCCAGCAGGTAGAGCCAGGTGAGCAGGACGACGGCAGTCAGAGACGCCACCAGCAGCTTCAGGCGCCCGCGGCACAGCAGGTGCATGATGGGACGGCGGCAGTCGGGTCGGGTCGGGTGCTCAGGTGGGGCTCAGTCCGTCTTCAGCTCCCTGCAGCATCCTTTCATCTGAGGAGACACAACGGGTCAGAACCAGAGTTACTAAAACACAAGAAACATTTTTAATAACTGAATGAAACTTTAACTGGGACTAAACTGTGTTCATAAAACTAAAACCTGCTGAAATCATAGATATTTATCCTTTTTTGTGTTTATGAATCCATTTACTGGACTTTCAAACTGACGTAAAACTATTATTTTTTCACCACAAAGCAGTTAAACTAAGCTAATCTGCAAAATGGCGGCAGCAAAAGGAAGGAGGAAACTCCAGTCAGCTGATTGTTCAACATCAACTGGATGAAATTTTTACATTTCTGTTGAGTTTTCAACCGATCCATGTGAACATAATCACAAAACCAAAATTACTCAGAAATGAACCAAAGAGTGAAAAAACAACTAAAACTAAAAATGAAACAATATTTAAAACAAACACTGTAAAAACTAATTTAAACTAACCAAGTTAAACAAACAAAATAAAACTATAATGAAAAACGTTTTTAATAATTCTGGTCTGAACACAGGAAGTGGTTCATCAGACACACTTTCCTCCCAGTTCGGTTGGGAATTAAAAATAATCCCTGGGATTAAACATCTGTTTTACATCATCAGCCAAAAGACAGAAACCAGCAACATTTACACTCATGAACCAAAACAAGAAGATTTACAACAAACTTTAGTTTATGTTGAAAAAAAACCTCAAACAAAAGTTAGGAGGGAAATTTGAGATTCAGCCTAGTTTTCCTGATTTCCCTCCCTGTGTATTTAAACCCACCTGTTGTCTTTGTCTCATGTCAGTTGTTGTTTTACGTCTCTGCTCTGAACTGCAGCGTTAGCTCTCGTTTTCAGTGCATCGGTTGCTACCGGTGATTAGCTGTGTGCTAACTCTCTGCCGTGCCGCCTGTTGGACTGTTTGAGCTTCATTAAATTCATCATCTGGGTCTCAGCGTCGTCCTCACCACCTCTAAATCACATCATCATGACGAGGACGTATTTAATATAAACATGTTGGAATGAGAGTTTTAAAGTGGTGAAGAAAAACAAAAAAACTCAACGACATGCAGAAAATTATTGTAAAGTTACAGAAACAAGAAAAAGTCAGGGACTGTGAGGCGGCTAATTTCAGATTACAAATCAGATTTTTGGAGGTTAAAGGCAAAATAAATGATTTTTAATTCTGCATGAAGCATCGAATCCAGGAGTTTGTTTCCTTTGGCAGAGCGGAGATAAGGAAGTCTGTAGATGTCAGCGCTACGCTGGTTTCCACTTGTTCCTGCATTTTAGGATGTTTGAACTATAAATAGGGAGCCTGATCTGGTTCTTAAAAACACGGGACTGTTACCTACGTTCAGACGCTGGTGGTACTGGAAACTTGTACTTACTTTTCAGAGTAGTTTTACTGCACTGTACTTTTTTCTTTTACTTCAGTAATATTATTATTGCTGCTCTTACTTGCGTAGATTGATTTAAAGAAACTCCACAGATTGGAAATATTAGATTCTTAAATTTATTCAATGTATGACCTAATATTTATGCACATTTGAGCCTAATTAACATTTCATACATGTCACTGTTTACATCATAATTGTCCATTTTGTATTACATGGTTATGCTGCATACAGGTCTGTAAAGCTCGTTTCTGCTGGTCTGCAGGCGGTTCGCTGGAATCACTGATAACTGCAGAACAAAGAGGAACACGAGTTCCTTCAGAGTGATGCAGCATTAAACGCAGCACAAATATCTGCTTGTCTTGTGGCTCAAAGGAGAGCAGAAAGCCCTCCAACGCTCATTTAAACTTCCCAAGTATGATTTATGAGTTAATTAGAGAGGCTGATGTATGCGCGGGATGCCGTCAGGAGCCATGAAAGCTGCTGAGACGGCCAAGAAAAGAAGACGAATGGAGAGCAAAGATTAGGAGAAAGAGGTGAAGAGGTGACGGGAATTACTGGAAGGAGAAAAGGACAAAGAGTGGAGAAAAAGGGAATAAAGGAGCGGAGAGATAAATACAGCGAACAGGGAAGGTGAAAGGAGGAGAGGCGATAAAAGGAAAAGCAAAGATTAAACGGAGCGAAGGCAGAAAGATTAGACGACAGACAGAAAACAAAGAGGGAGCGATAAACCGGAGCAGATAATAAACAGGAAGATTCTGTTCAGCAGATTAAATAAGCAGAGAGGAGACGGTGGAGGTGATAAACCGGGCCGGGACAGAACCCGGACAACCCGCCTCTAATTACGACAATAAAACCCAAACGACTGGCTGACAGAGGACGGCGCCGCGGGCGCCAAGTTAAACGCAGCAGCAACGGCCGGACCGATTCCAGAACCCCGAGCCCAGAAAAACCCAGAAACCCAGAGAGAGTCGGGTCAGAGGAACGACAAAAACACAGAGGGAAGATCTGATGTGGGTTCGTTTCTCTGGAGTTTAGATCCAAAGGAAGAACGTCCAGGTGGGCAGGGAGGCAGAAGTTCTGCCGGACCGGGCCGGACTGGACCGGGATTTTAGCTGACAGATCAGAACCAAGCAGAGCTGTGAAACTGAAGGTTTGTTTCTAAAACCAAAGTCACCATAATATTCAAGCTCTGCCACAGATTCTGACTTTGACTAGGCCATTCTGAGCCATTAATGGCTCCGATGTAACCCGCCCCATCAGGGCGGGGCCAGAGTTAATAAATGATATTTATTTAAATCTTATTGCCGTTTCTGTTTCTGGAGGGTCTTCCATTAAAGCCAGACATGTGGAGCAACCGAGTGGAACGGCCCAGTCAAAGTCCAACTGAGAGTGTGTGGTGAGACGATGAAGAGGACGAACTCACACACTTCCTCTTCCAGCCTGGGTTTTCCCGGCGTTCCGAGCTGCAGCAGCAGCCGAACGGGATGGTAATGAAATTACGGGCCTGAAGCGGCGCGGCGGTTCGGGTCTGCGGCGCTGCTCTGAGCACGGAGCTCGTCACCGGGACGACGGCTCTGATTAGCAGAATAATCAGCAGGCGCTTCTTCCATTAGAGCAGATAAGAGAGCAGAGCAGCAATCAACTCCCCTCACGCTCTGCGCTGACCTCCCTGACCTCTGAAGAGGAGCTCCGCCTCCTGACACCAGATTCTGATCTGCTCCAAAAAAAACCCGTTTCAAGATTAAACTCCCTGAGATCATCCCTCCTGTCTTCTAATCATCGCTCTCTGTGCCAGCAGGAGGCGCTGTAATGAGGTCTTTCTCTCTCTGACCCTTAATTATCTGCCTTGATCTGAACCGAGACGTCAGGCTGAATTTCACAGGCAGCTGGAGTTAAAAGTGACCGTGACGAGCGGAGCAGAGAAGGGTCGGAGGTCATGTCAAGGGACGGGTCGGGACTTTCAGGAACCGACCTCTGAATAACAGCTTTACAGACGAATCAGTCGGGATCCGACCCAAACGTCCCTCCTGCTTCCTGATCCTGTGTTTCCCTCACAAACACCTCCTCCTTTCCAAACTTTTATTTCCAGTTAATGTTTGACCCATTTTTAAAACTCTAACTTTAAATTTCACTGTGAATTTACAGCAGATATTTCTACAGCAAAACAAGCCTGGAATAAAACATTAAAACTCGGTTTGTTCAGCCAACAAAACCTCAACCTCACTTAAAGACAATAACCGACATGTACAGATATTTATATATCTATAGAAATAAACATCAGTTAAAGTCAGCCCAGTTTTACTTACTGATACTTAAAAAAGACAAATACAGACACAGATGCTAATGGCATCATTTCATCCATCCGTAGTCAAACGTTCAGTATTGTGGTTTTAAAAGCAGATTATCTTTAAAATCAGATTATTATTGATTATTATGATAACCAGGCCGTCATAAAATGCTAAAAACACCAGAGGAAACATCAGGTTGTTTACTGCAACTCCAAATGTCAGTTAAATTGTTCGATGTGCCATTTTTTAAATAAAACTTAACACAAATACTCTTTTTACAGAGTTTAATATATTTTGAGAGAGCCAGACATTTCCAGCCTGAATCTTTCTGGGGTATGAATAATTGTGGACTGAAGTGAATCTGAAACTTTCAGTCAGGACTGAAATGATTTCTGCTTCCTGAGCCTCAGACGACTTTAACTTTTTATTTGTTTTAAATTAGCATTTTAATGTTTCTTTTTATTCTTTTTAAAGTAACTTCAGCTGTAGCAAAAAACTCCAGCTTTTAAAATGTTTGATCAGCGATTTATTTTTTATTATATTGATGTTTCATCAACATGTTCCAGATGTTCCCAGAATTTAATCTTTGCTTCCCGTCTTTTTGTCGACGCAGCAGATTCTGCTGAATGTCTCCATGTTTTTATCCTTCACAGGGATAAAAATAAAAACCATAAGAAACGTGGACTTTGTGAGGAACGGTTCCTCAGACATGAACAGAACGGTTCTTATCGGCCCGTCCGGCTCTGTTGGCTCTAAGATCCAGTTTTAGATATTTAAACGATGCAGCAGGTTCCTGCAGAACAGGATCTGTTACATCTGCAGCTGGAGGATCTGTGATTGTTTATAATTTCAGTTTTTGAACCCTAAAGTCAACAAAGCAACAGCTTTGAAACGAGGAACGTCAGTCAGAGTGGAGCTTTGATCATAATCTGTAAAATAAAAAGAGAAAATAACCAAAAGTTGACGGAAACCTGATGGCCGATCCGATCGGCTCAGTGGAGAAACTCCAGGCTGGACAGGAAGGAACGACGTCTGATCCGGAAGATCCGGGTCGGATTTTACTCAAAGCTTGTCCAGATGTAGTCGCGTCTTTATAAAAACTGAATATCGCTTAAATATTGTTAAAAAAAAAATATTGTAAATGGGGTCAGTTTCTGAAACGTTTTCATCCACAGGAAACAAATCCGTTGTTTTAAACATCCCAGCCCAACAGGGGGCAGTGTAGCGCAAACCCAAGTCAGCCAATCAGATTGCTTCGTAAACTACGACTTCCTGTTAGGAAAAGCTGCAGGCTTTCAATTCAATTTCCCAGAAATCAGTGCAAATTTGAGAACGTCAGAGATTTACTGGAGGCGTTTTTATTAACCTGTGAGGTTGTGAATGTCTCTGAGTTGGTTCTGGAGAAATAAACTCTAAAAAAACTTCACTTTGCCAATTAAGAAACTAGTTTTTAAGTTTCAGAGTTTCTAACGTTATTGTGCTGCTTTGCTGCAAAAATTCACTCGACTTGAAAGAAGTTTGACTTGCAGAGAAAAACCAGATTATACTTTATTTTATGCAAAGAAAAAGAAGATTTATGATCCGTTTTCTGTTAAAATATGAAAACAAATCCTCCTTAGAAAAGAGATTTGAAATTGCAGAAAAACATTTTTCTGTTCGCAGTTTGATGTTGTTAATGTTTTGAGCAGATGAAACGTAAGTTTATTCACATTGTGAGGTGATTTTTTCTTCTGATGCATGTGGATTATGTTCAGTGTGTTGGATGGAGACTGGAACAGAGTTTGTTCAGCGAATCATTTTTCAGCATGTGAGGACAAGTCGGCTGATCCTCACTTCCTGACTTCCAGTTAAACCAAAGAAGGTAAAAGAAAAAACCCTCCAAAAGCCACAAATCCACCGACCGCCTGCAGAGGAACGAGAGCGAAGCGGCGTCGCACGTTTCGCTTCTAACTCTAACCTCCGATCGTCTTCTGGAGGTTTCAGGGCAGAAGAGCAGAAACGCGGAGCTGCAGGAACCGCAGCAGGAAAACAGTCGGAGGCGTTTCGACCTGCTGGATGCCTGGAAACGGATCGAAGCTTAAACAGGTGGGCCGGCTCTGCAGCGTTTCTGCAGCGCGGTGAGTGGAAACAGGAAGAAACCAGAGCAAACTGCTTAGAGGACAGAAATGGCAGCCGTGACCTTTGCCCCCACCTTCCCACCTGGATATTTCCCGTCCTGCGATCCAAGTCCAGCCGCTCAGCTCTTCCTCCTCAGGATCTTCCTCAGCCCCGACTCGTCCAGGATCTGCAGACCTTCGTCCCACTGCTTCCTCCTCTGCGGCTCCTTCGTGTCCTCCTCCTCCTCCTCTCTCTCCTCCTCTTCCTTGCACACCAACAGGCCATAAATCTCCTCCACCTCCCAGGAAACTGCTCCGATTTCAGCCCCACGCCCTTTTTTTCCCACTTTATGGAGAAAAGAACGGATCATCCCTGCCGGGGAGGAGCGGTGTCACCTTACATTGCCGGGAACAACAGAGGGGCATTGTGGGGGTTTTCTTCCTGCGCTGTGGAATGCACCGGTCCCCTCTGAGGCCTCGTTCGCTTCTTTTCAGCATCATAAACTGTTAAATAGTTTATGTCTCCTCCAGGAAGCACGGCTTTCTCTGGACGGAGCGTCTCCACATTTGATTGAAGAACCGTCTGATCCTCCTCTGTTCAGCACAGGAAGGCCGTTTATCCAGGCAGATTAAAGGATTCCTCTCCTCATCCTGGTAAAAAGACACCTTATCATTTATAAACACCACTTTACGCAACAGGTGGTGTCTGTGAACGCTCCTTAAAGGCGACTGGAGGTTAAACCCACCGATTCTCAGCAAAAACTTCATTCCCAACCAAATGTGACCATTTACTAACAGGAATCTCACCGTTTCCATTGTATTTCATATTAAAGTAATAAACAAAACCAAGAATTGTTAGATAAAACCTTTAATGTTTACTGTGTGGCGTCTTTTATGAGTATTTTTGTTTTTAATCAGTCAGGTTTATTTGTGTTGCACGTTCAGAGTTCCAAGTCAAAAATCAACTGAAACATGAAATTCTTCCGTCATCAGAGATCAAAATGTTTCATTTATTATGAATCAAAGAAACTCCAACCAGCTGGGTTTCAGTCTGGATGTAAAGGAACTCAGTGTTTCGGCTGTTTTTCAGTTTTCTGGAGGTTTGTTCCAGATTTGTGGTGCATAGAAGCTGAATGCTGCTTCTCCACATTTGGTTCTGGTTCTGGATGCAGAGCAGATCCAGAATGTGCTTTTTAAATAAACTGATCTAATCTGAATCTAAAGCATCGACCCGATGCCGATATTATGGATGTTCTGATGGACATTCTGGATCGACCCGTCCAGCTCGTCTCCTCAGAGCTGAAGGTTTTTAACCTGAAATCAACATTCAGAGATCAGAGCTGAGCAACGCTCCACTCAGGGTTTTCATGTTCCTCCTCTGTGGAAGCTTCAGACCGGCTGCAGGTTTCATGCAGAACCTGCTCAGGAACCCGGCGGCCATGTTGGTTTAGTCTGGAGCCCGGAGGTTCTGCACCGTAAGCACACCATGAGGGAGCGTCGGCTCCACCAGCACAGACACACACAGACGTCGGGTCCAGTGGAAACGAATCCTCCTCTCCAACCAGCAGAGGTCAGCAGGTCAACAACACCTTCCTCTGTTTACTCAGAGGAACACTGACCCGGCTCGCCCCTCCCCCGCCTGCTGCTGGGAGCCGGATCAGGTAACGGACCCCAGACGACCCGACAGTCCAGCACCGACACTTCGCTGCTCGTTATGAAGTCAGAGGTCAGATCTACCGTCCCACAGAGATGGGGGGGGGTTTCCTGGCCAGCATGCAGCCTGGGTGAGATTTACTGTTTGCTTCTTCCATTACCGACTCTGAACTATAAATAAACCGTCTGATCTCATTCAGAAACCCACTGATGATCGTTTCCTGTAACGTCTGGAGCTGAAAGAGTTAAACTTTGAGACGGGAACATTTACCGCCAGAGTCCACACACAAACCGGGGCGCGCGCACACACACACA